ATGAATGTTACATCACTTTGTCTCGACCGTGTTGACTTTAAGCCTAGAACTTGTTCGGATTATGTTGTTTATCTTCCTATGCTAGAGGATCTCTCATTTCTCGACTGCGATAAGATATTTTATTTTAACATTGTTGCACCAAAACTTGGTAGTTTGAAAATCATCATGCCAGAGTGTTGTGATTATTTCAAAGAATTTGGTGTTCTACCGCCTAACTTGGACTTGAGATCTATATCAAGTCTTAATTTGGAGTGTTCCATTTGTTGCTTTGAGGTAAATTGACCTGATGACTCTTTTTTTTGTTTGCTTCTGTTTTTATAAAACACTTTTTAGGAACTGATCTATTTGTCTTTCTCTTCATTTCCAAAGGGGTTTGTTGAAGAACTTAATAGAGTAGGACAACTGTTTGCACTAAACATTGAACGCCTCAAGCTATGTATATCAAGCGATATCTGTTTGCCAGATAATATCAACAATTCTGCATTCATACATCTGCTGCGAGCATGCCCAAAATTATGCGAACTTGATATATGTGATCTACTTGATATATATGATCTAGAGGTAATCTTCATATATATATATATATATATATATATATATATATATATATATATATATATATATATATATATATATATATATATGGATCAACTGTTCCATAAAATTCTAATTGATTCCATTATTGTTGCCTTTCTTAATGCAAATTTGTTATGTAAATTATGAACGGATTGCTTATTTATTTTTATGTTCTATTATTAGTTTTTGAGGTTAAATCCAAAGGATTTTGTGCTTACGGAGGAACTCAGCAGTGTGGCTCAAACACTGAAAATGCTTCGCACTTTGAAGTTTAGCTTTTTTAATGGGTTGAGGTTTGAAATGCAATGTATTAAGGTGTTACTTGCTTGCTTTCCAGTAATTGAGAAGGTTGTTATTGTTCGAGGTTGGATTCCCATTGATGAAGAATTTAAAATTATGCAGGAACTTTTACGTTTCTCTCGTGCCTCTGCAAAAGCAGAAATTTTTTACATACAAGAATATTGCCTCTGCAAAAGCAGAAATTTTTTACATATTTTTTACATACAAGAATATTAGTTTTATGCTGTTTCCTTAGTACGTATGTTCTGTATTATGTAATGGTTTGTGAGATTGCTTATTAGGTTTGAATGTACGATCACAACTGTTGTTGGGTTTATGGTGAATTAATTGTTTGCTCTCCGTATTATATTAAGTGTAGATTGAATTAAGGGACAAAACAACATACATTTATGGTAATTAATTACATTCTTTAGCATGGAACTCCATGAAAGTTTTGTATTAAATTAAAAAAATTAAAAGTTTAAATATAATTGTTATCTGGCAATTTTATATTAAATACAATAGGCCCAACTAGGGGTGTATCAATCATTATGTTGTGGAATCATGTGCACCATGCATGGTGCATACGGTTGCAAAAACGATGTCGTTTTGATGTCCGACTTAAAAGAAAAATAAAATTCAGAATTTTGCATAACTACATATCAATAACTTCATAACTATACATCCATAACTTTATAACTATAAGTCCAGAATTGCATAACTACACATCCATAACTTCATAACTATACATTCATAATTGCGTAAATACACACTCATAACTTCATAACTATAAATTCAGAATTGCATTGTGAACAAAGAAAATTGAACAATGTATATTTAATATTCAAAATTCTGGTTACATCAAGTTTCAATACGGTGTGGGTACAAGTCTCTGTAGTCCTTTGATTCTTCAACTGATGCCTTGAACACTCCACCAATGAAGGGCCTCCGGAATTCAAGTGGCTTGATCTTCAAAGAAGGGATTGTATATATAGCTTGTTCTTCTTGAAGTGCCTCCGGGTTCAAATGGCTTAATTTTCAATGGAGGTTTGGATCAACAGCCATAATTGGATTGGAGGAGGAGCTTTTACTTTCAGGATCACATTTTAATTGTGATCTCTGAATAAACTTGATGTTTCTATGATTTTTTCCTAGGATCTGTGATTACATAGAAATGAAAAAGCCCTATTTATAGTTGTAGGATAGAAGAGTTTTGGTAGGTCCAAACTCTTTTGATATTATCTAATTAACAAATTAGATAATATCAATATTATCCAATATATTTCAAATATACTAATATTGATAAATAATCAATATTTATCAAAATTTAAGTGTCTACTAACTACACATCCATAACTTCTTAACTATACATTCAGAATTGCATGCATAACTACACATCCATAACTTCATAACTATACATTCAGAATGTGAAATTATAACTTCATAATTATACATTCAGAATTGCATGCATAATTACACATCCATAACTTCATAACTATAAATCCAGAATTGCATAACTACACATCCATGATTTCATAACTATAAATTCAGAATGTGAAATTATAAAATTATGAACATATGTTTACGTAAATAACGACAATCAAATTTTTTTTTTATTTAAGTAAAACGACATCGTTTTTGCATCCGTATGCACCATGCATGGTGCACACGGATGCACGGCATAATTTGCGTGAATTAAGGGTCTGTTTGGAAACCCGGAAAATGACTTCTGGAAGTCATTTTCCAAGTTTTTGGTGTTTGGGAAGGCTGAAAATGAAAAAGTCAAAGGAAAATGACTTCTAGTCAATGGAAAATAAGGGCTGAAATTAGGAAAATGACTTTCCCTTTTTTTTGGCGGAAGTCATTTTTCATCTTTCAATCAACATCCGAGACACGCTTTTTCTCCCTTCACCGGTTCTTCTCCCTTCACCGCTTCTTCAACATTCAACAAAGACCTACCCACGCATCTCCTCCAACAATCCACAAAAGCTTCACCAACACTAGAAAAGCTACAATGTATGTTTTTTTAATTTTTTAATTTTTTTTCCAAATATTATGGCTGTGGGTTTCCGCATCGAAAACCAGATATGATTTCCGATGCGGAAAACCAGTCACTTTCCGATCGGAAACCATGCACTGGTTTCCGCGGAAACCAGTGCACATTATTGCACTGGTTTGCGTGAATTAAGGGACAAAACACCATACATTTATGGTAATTAATTACATTATTTAGCATGGAACTCCATGAAAGTTTTGTATTAAATTAAAAAAATTAGAAGTTTAAATATAATTTTTATCTGACAATTTTATATTAAATACATTAGGCCCAACTAGGGGTGTAACAATCGTTATGCTATGGAACCGTGTCCACCTTGCAAGGTGGACACGGTTCTATGTTTAAAATTATTGAACTATATGCTCATAATTATAAAGCTATATATTTATAATTATTGAACTTCATATTCATAATTATTGAACTCTATATTTACAATTAAAAAACTCTATGTTCATAATTACCGAACTATATGTTCATAATTATAAAGCTATATATTCACAATTTTTTAACTTCATATTCACAATTATTAAATTTCTATATTAATAATTACATAACTATATGTTCATAATTATAGAACTATGTGTTTATAGTTATAGAACTATGTATTCATAATTATGAACAGTTTTGGAACACGGTTCCACGACATAATTTGTCCGGGTGTAATAGTGAATTTTGTAACAAAAATAATAATATAGCATTTGGTATTAATTACATGTTGGTATTATAGTTAAGATTTAGCAAGTTTAGCAAACACTTTTTATATGAGTGAAAAACATATGATATATAACATGAAACAAGTGAAGAAAATGTTTAGCGCAATACAACAAAATCTGATACATTATCCATATATTACATGGAAATAGTGAATTTTGCAACAAAAAAAATAATATAGCATTAAAAATGATGCCAAACCAAATATCAAAGGGAAAACTACTCCTGAAAACTATTTATAAAATATCAAAGGGAAAAGAACACAAAAGTGAAGGACAAACCAGATAAGGAAAGTAAATATTAACACTTGAAAATCATTTTTAACTCTAAAAAAACAATTGAAATCTTAACTATAATATAGCCATATGGTTTGGTGAGCAATTATTGTTACAATTTTTTTTTTTTAAATGGTGATGATGATTAATAGTCATTTATATTTATAAATAATTGTTTGGTCTTTAAATGTCAATTGTATGTTGCTACATCTAGAGTTAGAAATCTCAAAGGTCTAAAAATTTTGATCCGTGGTGACTCTAAAATTGTAATTCAATTACTATTGTAGTTTACTAAATTCTTAAAAATTTGTAATATTAAATACTATGTACTAAATTTTTAATATAGTTTAAGATTTGTAGTAATCACCACTGTTGCAAAAATCGCGCCTAGGCCCCGACTAGGCGCTCGGCGCTCGGCCTCCTAGACGGCCTAGGCGCTCTAGGAGCCTGCCTAGGCGTTCTAGGCGCCCGCCTAGGCGCTCTAGGCGGTCCCCAGGCGCCTAGAGGACGCCTAGCGATTTTTTCAACATTGATAGTCACCCACCTTAAATATTATTTTAATTGTAAATATATTTATTTTCATAATTTTATCATAGGAATTCACACATAATAATTATTAAATAACAAAAAATTTATATATGAATAAACCTCATATAGAGTATATTTTTATAACATATTTTCTGTGCATCGCACGTGACAAATACTAGTATATAAAGAAAGATAAAGATAAAGATTTAATGTTTATATTATACCAAGTGTCTTGTGGTCTAGTGGTATCGGGTTGCTCCCCTAAGTGGGAGGTGAAAGGTTTGAACTTTAATTGAGGCAAGTAGTGTGTAAATGTAGGGTATCCCCTTCCTTATAATAAATAAAATAAAAAAAATGATTTAATTTTTATTAAAATAATATTTAATTAGAGAACAAAATTTAGAAAAAATTAATAGTCAAGAAATTACATATGATTAAATTGAAAGTGGATGAAAAAAATTAATAAATATCAGAAGTTAAAGTCATTTTGGCTTTCCAATTGAAAGTCAAAAATAAAAATTGGTAAATAATAATAAATGACGAACCATTTTTGAAATTAACTTTATATTTCCTAGATCGTTCAACTATCAGCCTTCGCCCTTCAGCCCTGCGACTCAGCCGTCTCTCTGTCTCTCCACCGGCGGCCGGCCTATTCTTCTCCGTCTGGCGTCTGCTACTCTGCTCCGTTTCCCTTTTGGTTTTCCTAACCCGCAAAGGCCCAAACCAAACATCAGAGGTTAGGGTTTCTGTCACTTTTCCCTCAATCTCTGTATTCTTCCCAACTCTTCCTAATTTCCTTTTATTTACGAAATACGACATCTTGCCGTTGAAGAATAGAACGATTTTAGCTTTTGATTTCGACTTGCGCCTCATTGTTGTTTCAATTTAATGGCTCAACATCGGCTTCTCAAAACCGCACCGGATGCAAGTAAGGATTTAATAAGTGAGCTGCCGGTAGGGGTAAAGGATAGAATTTTGGAGTGTTTGCCCACCCGAGACGCCGCCAGAACTGCTCTGCTCTCAAGGCACTGGAATGATCTTTGGTTGCAGCATGGGCGGCTTTCGTTCGATTGGGAATTCTTGCTAACTGTCCAACAGTGCCAAGATGATTATTATGGTAGAACCCTCGTGAAAATAATCAATAATATCCTCTTTCCCCGGGCTTGGCCGGTTAAGAAATTTACTCTACGGATTTCATATGATGATCCTCAGCCGCCGCAGTCTGCTATTGATAGGTGGTGTCTTTTTCTGTCAAGAAATGGTGTGGAGGAACTTAACATACGTTTAGATAGTGATGAGGTGGAGGAAAATAGTTATCAGCTGCCATTTTGTTTACTCTCTTGCAGGACAATTAAGGAACTGATAGTCCGAGGTCCCTCTATTGATTTGCCTGTAAATGGTTGTGGTATATTTTCCAATGTCACTTCATTAGCTTTCTACAATGTTGAATTTAAGTGCAGTGTTAGTGGAATTGCCTCTAGTTTTAGTTTTCCTAAACTTGAGAAGCTGGCTTTCGGATATTGTGAAGGGATCAATAAGTTTGAGACCGGCCAGCCAAAGCTTGAAATGTTGTCTGTTATTGGTTATATGTATGTAGTTGATTCGAGATGGTTGGCACCGCATTTGAAATCCATTAAGACTCTTTGGTTGTGTGACTCTTCGTTGCGGGTGAGAATCTAACTCATTTTACTAGATATAATTCTTTACCTTCTGGCTTGTTAAAGTTCTTGTGGTGGATAATTTTGTTTCTTTATTCCTATTTTTCAAGTCTATGGATGTATCTGTGTTTCCAACTGCAATAAATTTGCAAGTGATGAAGCTATATCAATTAAATTTTGGTATTCGGAAGCACCTCGTCATTGTTATGCAATTGCTTCAAAAATGCCCCAACCTATGTGAACTTCGGATTATTGCGAATGAGGTAGAGTATATATTTGGCATTTTGGCAATCATGTATGATTCTTCTTGTTTTGCTTTTTCAAATGTCCTCATAGTTGTATTGTGTTTCATTTCTTCTTGAGTTATAGTTGGGTTGGAAGGATGACGAAGAAGCTGCTTCAAGGTTTTTGGAGGATCCAAATGGTAGCTTTGTTATTCACGAGTTGAAGATGCTTAACACAATCAAGATTGAATCATTCAGTGAATCCGCATTTGAAATGCTCTTTATGAAAGTGTTGCTCTCAAAATCCCCAGCGCTAGAGAGAGTTGTTATTGTGAAGTCTTGGGGTACAAATGCCCAGGCGAGAAAAATCCAAAGGAAGTTGGAATGCTTCCCTCGTGCATCTCCAAACGCACAAATTGTCTGCACGGGCAATTACTATGCGTCTATGCGTGATGATTGGATGGATACCCATGGTTTTGTCCTTTCAAGAACTTAGTATGGTGAATCTCCCTGGGTTCTATTTGATTGCAGCTTAGAAATGTAAGTAAAGATTATGTTAGAAGTTGAAATGATTTCTAAGTTGTTGAGCATGGGGTATTTGTGGGCAATTAAGAATGTTCCTATATTTGCTTTTGTTAATAAATTACTTCAATTATTCTGCTTTTTTTTTTTTTGTTCCTATATCAAGGTCCTGATAGTGGAAAGATTGAAGTAAAATGCATGTAGTACAATTAACATAACTTCAGCAAAAAGAGGGATCATTCTTGAATTTCAGCCTACTGCTTGCTTGCAGATTCAAAAAGGAGTTTTCCAGTCGATAACTTGAGAAGGTAACCTATTTATCAAATGATTAAGTTGCATGTAGAACACAATGATCTCAAAACTGCAAGGGGAGAGCTGCTTGGAATTTCAAAGCTCTAGCTACATTTAACACATGTTCATGCTTTCTTTCTGCAATTGCATTCTGCTGTGTTGTGGGGTGTTGACACATGATTTTTATTTTATATATATCTAATTCCTTTTTCTGCATAAAGTTCAGTCATTTAATCTCAATACCATTACCACTTCTTATTAATGATTTTAGTTGAATGACAAGAGAAACTTGCAACAATTATCCTACACACCTTAGGATATTATTGCTACTATTATCTCTCACAAAAGTGTGAAAATGTTGAAGTAGCCACACTGAGATCCAAACCACATTGTGGACAATTAAGAATGTTCCTATATTCATCCTCCCAAATGCTCTGTCAGGTCGGTCGGAGTGTAGGGGGCCCTTAGGGTTGGGGTTAAGCTTTTTGGAAGAAGAATGTTCCTATATTTGCTTTTGTTAATAAATTACTTTGGTGCCTTTTTTTTTTTTTTTTTTTTTTTTTTTTTTTTTGCATAAATTAGTTCATGTAACAATGTTAAGGCGTTTGATAGTAAAAAAATTCCTGCCTTATACTAGTCACTAAAGCATTTTCATATAAGGGTCCATTTGAAAAATAGGACAATGATCTTATTTTCTTCAGTCAATGGAAAATGTTTTTTCGTGGACCAGAAATCATTTTCCGGGATTCCAAACACACCCTAAGATCATCAACAGAAAATTTCACTATACTTGTAGGATCAAAATCAATATATTCAAAACAAAGTGAAATGACATTTGAAAATATACAACGATTAATAGATCAACATGCAGTCAATAAAGATGCAATCTCTCTAGTGTAAGGTGTAAGTCAATAAAGATGCAATAGTGTAAGGTAGAAGCAGATAATAAAAATAAAGGCCGAAGCAGGTAATAAAAACAAAGGTGCATTTCATCAGCTTCTTTTTGCAACATTCTTGACGTACCTTGTCGTCATCAAGAAACTCAAGTTTCCAAATAGGTCCATTATGCTACATGACAATTTTGTTGATTACATGAAACCAAACAAATAACCACACATAACCATCATAGTCATAGTTGTAAGTGTAGTCAAAGAAGAAAGGGAGAAGTGTCAAATAGACCCATCTACTATTTAGAAGTGTTCCATTCCCTCCATCATCTAAAATATGTGTTAATCAAACACATTTACCCTCTAAATTTGTTCAATTAAACTTTTTCACAGGTTACCATCCAGTTGCCCATTCCACTGGCGGACCTGGAAATAAATTTAATGACATGGAATTTAATGTTATTGGTGGTGACATCAGCGCCCCGAACAGCCCACTTTCGCCGTCAACGCTCTCCACCTCTCCCAATTCAACCTCTCCTCCACCACCTTCACCTCCAAACTCAACATCTCCGTCTCCGCCCCAAACCCCAACAAAAAGCTCACATATTTCCGGCGACATCCCCGTCAGAACCGGATATTTTCTGGCGTTCGAACACGGCACCAAAAACACCACAACTCTGAAAACAACAATCTCCGCCTCAAAGCAAACTCTCGCCGTCAAAAGCCACAACCTCCAACGTTGACTGCAAGGTTGATCTCCGAATCAAGATCTGGAAATAGACTCTCTGAACAAGAAAATCAATGAGTATCAACGGCTGCGTGAAATCCCAGGCCGGCCAGGCCATTACCAGAAAATTATCGTGACCCATATTTCTTGCCCACCCGGAGGGGAATCTACGCGGGCTATGTAATCGTACAAATTGAGGCCGTGGCGGAAGTAGGAGTTGGCTTCGGGGCCGAAGTGGTAGCGGAGGCTGTCGAGGCCGGCGTAGTACGAGAGGTAGACGACGGCGGCGTGTGCGGGATCGGAGGTGAGGCAAGGATACTCCAACATACGGCGGTGGAAGACGAGCTCGAGCATGTAGAAGTGGCGGATTTGAGGGATTTGCGACGACGACGGCGGGATTTGAGGCAAACTCGAGCATGCGGCGGAAATTTTTAAAGATTAGGGAAAATAAGGTGTTTATTTAGTAATTCAGATTTGACCCACTTTTTATTTTATTTTTTATTTTATTTTTTTATTATTTTAAAGCCATGTAATTAGTGACATGTAATGGTAACCGGACCACGTCATCAAAAATGGGTGATAACCTACAAAAAAGTCTAATTGAACAAATTTAGAGAGTAAATGTGCCTGATGACCACATATTTTAGATGGTGGGGGGAATTGAACACTTTCAAATAGTAGATGGGTCTATTTGACACTTCTTCCAAGAAGAAATCATCAAACTTGAGACGTGTAAGACTGGACCAAATATTTCTCTATCAGGTGGAGAATACAACATTTCTAGCATCTTCTTAACAAAAATTCCAAAACATTGTCAAGAATCTCTGCCAAAAATTCATTGATTCTATCTCTCTCCGACATAATCCTAACAACTTTAACATATGCAAATTAAATAGCAAATAAATTAAAACTGAAACATAATCCTTAAATGGGCGGACTAACTGGTAATCCTAATTAAGTAAAGTAGAAATAAAAACAATAGCTCAAAATCCGAATTGAAATTATATTGCTTAAATACTAAATTTCTAACCAAGAACTTTGTGGTCCACTGGTACTAAATTGCTCCCCTATGTGAGAGGTGGTGGGTTCAAGCCATGTAGCTTGTATATGTGGGAACTTCTCTTAATAATATTTTAAAAAAAAAAAACTAAATTTCTAAATATGAATTCAAAACTAACAAGTGAGTAGAAAGTTAGCATTCAAATTGTATTAACCCTATCCCAATATGTAAAACCTCTAAACTTTTCTGTTTGGTAAAATGACTGATAGCTGTTAATTAGAGGGTATAAATAGTTGATAACATTAGCTGGTTGTAGAAAAGTGTTTGGTAAATTAGCTGATAGGTGTTTGGTATAATTTCTTTTCTCAAAAAGCTAATTGAAAAAGTTGCTTGGAGTAGCTTTTTGAATTTTAGCCTTTTGGAGTTGCAAAAAGTTAATTAACCAAACATTTATATTGATATTTTAACTAAATCAAACAATTAATAGTGGTCAAATAAGCCAAAATTGGTCTATATGCCGATTTTTTACCAAACAGGGCCAATATTTATGTAATTTTAGTACATTAGAAAACTTAAAAAAAAAAAAAAAAAGCACCGTACAAAAATCTAAATCTTAGTAGTAAGCTAATGAAATGTTAGCAAATTGATCAACGTTTTTAATTTTAAAGATATATAAATTTGAATTATCTATTAAAAAAATGATAGATTGATAGGTATGCAATATAATTAGTTAAATAAATTAAACTTTAAGGTAGACAGAGACCCCAAATCCCCAAATTCAATTGGCTTTGGACCTGGTGCCCATTTCCCTCACAGGTTTAAACCAGGGTGAGAATTGAGGAGCAATTATCATATCTTTAAAATTAATAATAATATATTCCTTTAATTTAAACATTCTAACTAAGGGTGTGTAAATTTTGGTGAAAGTTCGATTAATAGACTGAATCATTAAATTGTAATTAACTACGGAGTATTTTTTAATGAACATTCTAAGGATTTTAGCTTTTGATTTCGAGTGACGCATACGACGTCAGCTAATCAAAGCCACCCTAGCGGAAGCAAGTAGGGATTAATAAGTCCTCTGCCGGTAGAGATAAAGCACAGAATTTTGAAGTGTTAGCCCATCCGAGATCCGAGAACTGCTCTACTCTCAACCCATTGGAATGATGTTTGGTTGAAGCATGGGAAGCTTTCGTTCGGTTGGGACTTCTCAAATAGTCTCCAACACGGTCACTATGATGAAGGCAGAACTCTCGTTCACATAATAATAATGTTCTCCTTTCTCGGGACCGATTAAGAAATTTACTCTAGAGATGTCAAATTATTATTGGCAGTTTGATTTGAATAGGTGGTGTCTTTTTCTATCAAGAAATGGTGTGGAGGAGCTTAACATGTGTTTTTTAAATTGTGGAGAGGCTGAATATAAGCTGCCATTTTGTATACTCTCGTGCCCAACAATTAAGCAACTGAGTGTGGAAGGCCCCTTTATTGATTTGCCGGTAAATAATGTTGGTGGTATATTTTCCATTGTCACTTCATTATTTTTCTCGGCTGTTGAATTTAGGTTGTTGAATTTAGACGCACTGTTAATAGAACTGCCTCTAGTATTAGTATTCCTAACCTTGAGAAGCTAGGTTTCTTTGATTGTGGAGGGATTAATAAATTTGAGATCAGCGCTTCAAAACTTAAAATGTTGTCTGTTCGTAATTCTGTGTATAATGTGGCTGAATCAAGATGGTTGACACCACATTTCAAAGCAATTAAGGCTCTTTGGTTGAGTGGCTCTTCCTTGCCGGTGAGAATCTAATCTGCCTCATTTTACTTTATGCAAATGGATGGCTTCCTTCTGACTTCTTAAAGTTCTTAATTGTCTGACTAATTTTTTTCTTTCTTTATTACCATCTTTCAAGTATATGGACGTATCTTTGTTTGCAACTGCAATAAATCTCCACGTACTGGGGTTGTATGAATTAAGTTTTGGTTGTGGGAAGCAGCTCACCGATGCTATGCAATTGCTTCAAAAATGCCCCAACCTATGTGAACTGAGAATTATGGAAGATCAGGTTGAGTATACATTTAAATTTGGCAATCATGCATATATGATTCTTCTGTTTTTTCTTTTCAAATGTCCTCACAGTTGTGGATGGCTTTCATTTCGATCTTCTTGAGTTATAGCTAGTATGCATGCTTCATGCTTCAAGACTTTTGGAGGATCTAGATGGTTGCTTTATTGTTCAGGATCTAAAGATGCTTAACACAATCAAGATTGAATCATTTAGTGGATTTATAGTGTAAATGCTTTTTGTAAAAATGCTGCTCTCAAAATTTCCCGCACTAGAGAAACTTGTTATTATGGAATCTCGTTATATTGACACATCTGTGGCTGTGAAAAGCCTAAGGGAGTTGTTGCGTTTTCCTCGTGCATCTACAAAAGCCCAAATTGTTTGCATGGAACACAACGACTCCATGTTTGGTTGGACCACGGGCAGATTGAGGTCAATCAGGACTTGGTAGAGTGTGGATAAAGATGCAAAAGGTGATAAAAGCGTAGCTCTAGTGAGCATGAAAAATGAAATTCGATCTTTTGTGCCATGCCAGCTGCCATGTGAAGAAATTTACTCTATGCACTCCCTGTGGAGTAAGAAACCGATCCTATAGAGTTATTTGGCAATCACGATTTTTTTTTTCTTAATTTTCATTTCTTGTTGAGTTGTGGACATGTTTATCTGATGAGATAAGACTTTCGGAGGATCATATCGATCATGATCTAAAAATGCTTAACACATTGAAGATTGAACAACTGTTTTAGGGCATACACACTTGAAATGTATTTTGTGAAAATGCTGCTCTTTAAATTACTTGGAGAAAGTTGTTATTCAAGAATCATATGATCTCGACTCCTCCATTGCAGTCAAAATTCCAAGATAGTTGTTGGCTTCCCCGGTGCATCTACAAAAGTACAAGTTGTCTACATGGACTACAACTTTAGGTATAGGTAGGGATGGCAATGGGTCGGGTGTGGGTCGGGGAGGGCTACATCCATCACCCGACCCACCTTATATTTTCTCCACCCACCCCCACCTCCAACTCACATTGGGTGGATTTTTTTAGAACCCACACCCACCCCCACCGGGTGCGGGTGCCCACTACGGGTACCCACCACTTATCATCTTATTATGTTTTTCAAAAATAATATTTAAATTCTTTACCCATAATAAAAAAAATAAAATCCATTAGTGATACTAAAACATAAATAATGGAAATATTTAAATATAATAACTAAATTGTTAATTTTTAAAAATAAACTTAGTAGTTTTGATATAAAAATAGTAAAAAGATACACGAAGTTATATAAACTTTTATAAATAATTACATACTAGTACTTATTTTACTATTATATGTATATATATATATATATATATATATATATATATATATATATATATATATATATATATATATACACACACACACACACATGGTGGGTCGGGTGGGGTTCTAGGCGGGTCTTGTACATAGAACCCGAATCCAACCCGACCCACCGCGGGTTTGCTTTTTTAAGACCCACCCCCGACCCACCACCCACCATCACCCAAAAAAACCCGATCCAAGCGGGGTGGATTTGGGTGGATATCTACGGGTCGGATTGAAATTGACATCCCTAGGTATAGGGTGGTTGGCTTCCCAGCAGAGTTTTTAGGAATTGAGCATTGTGCAGCTCCATTATATGGTTTTGAGTAGAAATGTAATCAATTGTTGTCCTGAATTGTTGTAAACATTTGTAAGATAAGGATGACATCTTATTTTGCTAAGCAGTAGACCTGAAGAATGTCTCCCTTGAATGTATGTAAGTACTAGATTTGGTCTCGGATGATGATAGTGTGAATGTGTGATATGTATAAGGTGTGTTCTTAGTTCTTATTGCATTAATATAATTTCTTCCATCTTGATTTTGGTGTTTGATTTATGGTTCATTTGGAAATTAGGAAAATGACATTCGGAAGTTATTTTTCAGATTTTCTAGTGTTTGGATACTCAAAGAAAATGAAATCAAATGAAAATATACATTCTATTCAATGAAAAAGGCTCAATTTGGTAAAAAATATCTTCATAATTTTTTAGTTAGAAGATATTTTTGAATTCATTATTTTTCCAATCTCTCCACTTTCTTTTTTTAAAGTTATTTTCTAGATTATTATTATTATTACAACAACTATCACCACCAAACTACCACAATCACCACCGTCTTAAATTTCCACCGTCTAGATTCTTTAAATTTCCATCGTCTCTTTGAGTACCTTCGATGATTATGAGTAAAAACAGTCCCTTCATGTAGATTAGTACTCAAAGATGATTGATTAGTTTTTTCTTCTTTGCTTTCATTAGAAGCAATTTCATTAAATTTAACAAGTTTCAAGGAATCAACAAAAATTGCAAAATTATCATCACTAGGAGAATTCATGGTATTATAAATACTAAAAGTCACAAGTTTACCATTAGACTCCATAGTAAGCATACCACTATGAATATCGATTTTAGTTTTTGCAGTTTTTAAGAATGGTCTTCCTAGCAAAATATGAGAAATTTTGTTAGCATTTTCCATATCCAGTACATAAAAATCAGCAGGAAAAACCAAGTTATTAACTTTAACAAGCAAATCCTCAACCACACCCCTAGGATATGTAGTATATCCATCAGCCAATTGAATTACTATACTAGATTTATTCAGGGGTCCAAGATTTAAAGAAGCATACACAGGATATGGCATCACATTAATAGAAGCTCCTAAATCTAACATAGCATTTTCAAGTTTAACACCACTTATCATGCATGGGATAGTAAACATACCTGGATCATTACACTTTTCATGAAGATTGTCTTGACTAGCCATAGAGACATTCTCATGCACTTTCATTTCCTCAACTCCTTTATTTTGTTTCTTTTTCAATGTGCATACCTCTTTTAGAAAATTTGCATAGCGAGGTACCTTTTTCATAGAATCTAAAAATGGTTTATTGCTCCCACATTCACGAAAGGTCTCATATAAATCATTATTTGAGTTTCCTCTTATTGGTTCTAAAAGAGCTTGAGGAAATGGGGGTACTGGTTCATAATCAGAAAAAGAAGAAAGCTTACCTTGGGACGTCTCTTTATTATTGACAATGATACCTGCACTTGTTTCCTTGTCTAAATCAACATTCTTTTCCAGCGACATACTTCTCACAGTAATTGCACTTACATTCTCTTTAGGACTAACGATCGTTTGAGAAGGTAATTTGCCAGAACTCTGTGCTTCCAACCGACTTATCGTAGTTGCTAGTTGGCCCACTTGCCTTTCTAAGTTTTGAATACTAGCCTTTGTTTCTTGAATACTAGCCCTTGTCTCTTGTTGGAATAGTTGTGTTTCTTGTTGAAACTGCAAAGTGTTAGTAGCAAGAGATTTAACAATATCTTCTAGATTCATACCTGAGCTAGAGCTTTGGGCTGGCTGTTGTCTTGAAGGAAATGGTTGTCTATACTGCTGAGAATTGGGATAATTCTGAACAAACTGGTTCCCTTGTGAGTTCCCATAGCTAAGGTTCGGGTGATCCCTCCATCCAGGATTATATTTATTAGAAAATGGATCATACTTACCTTGAGGTTGTCCAGGAAAACATCCAGCCATGTTGACTTGTTCGACTTCTTGAAGAGTTGGGCAGGCATCAGTTTGGTGCCCAACTACCGAGCAAATTCCACATGCTTTTACAGTTTGCATATTGCCTACTGCTAATTGACGAACAAGAGTAGTTAAACCAGTAATTTGTTGTTCAAGAGCAGAAATATTTACCTCATTCACTTGCTTAGACGGTTGGACAAGTCTATTGCCAAACTGTTGAGAATTCGCAGCCATGTTTGCAATTAGAGTTCTTGCGGCGTCTGGTGTCTTGTCAACTAAAGCACCACCGCTTGCGGAATCAATCATGCTTCTACCCATTGGAAAGAGTCCTTCATAAAAGTACTAGATGAGTAATTGATCACTGATTTGATGGTGTGGGCAGCTTGCACATAGTTTCTTGAAACGCTCCCAATATTCATACAATGACTCTCCATTGTTTTGCCTTATACCACATATTTCCTTTCTAATGTTGGCCGCCCTTGAAGCTGGGAAATATTTTTCAAGGAATGATGTCTTTAAGTTATTCCATGTGGTGATGCTTCCGGAGGGTAAATAATATAGCCAATCCTTCGCTGAATCTTTCAAAGAAAAGGGGAAGGCTCCCAACTTGATTTGTTCCTCAGTAACCCCAGTGGGTTTCATACTTGAACACACCACATGGAATTCCTTTAAGTGTTTGTGCGGATCTTCACCTGCAAGTCCATGAAAAGAAGGCAAAAGATTAATTAACCCAGATTTTAATTCAAATTGGACATTAGCATCCAGAGCAGGGAAAGTGATGCATAAAGGTTGTTGATCTAAATTCGGGGCTCCAAGCTCTTTTAAAGTCCGATTTTGAGCCATGGGTTCCTCTTCTAAATCAGAATTGGTAGAATCGGTAGCCAGATCACTAAACTCCAATTTTCTCAAAGCTTGTTTCTTCCACCTGCGTATAGTTCTTTCAATTTCCGGATAGTACAGCAAGATTTCTTGATTAGCAGATCGAGTTATAGGCATAAACAAAAAGAAAATATATTGCAGAAATTATGTAAAAGTAAGGAAAGAAAAGATTTTTTTTTTTAAATTTTTTTTTTAATTTTCGTTTGGGACAAATTAACGAGAAAAAACAACTAAACAAATAAATAATTAAATAAACACAAAATAAACAAGAAAATCTCCCTGGCAACGGCGCCAAAATTTGGCGAGCTGTCGTAGGCTCCCAAATTAAAACCTTACAAACGTAGTAGCGGGAGTAAGGGTCGATCCCACGAGGAGTAACTAGTTTAACTTTTGTGCTCAAAGAAATAATGGGGAGTTTGGAATATATCGAGAATAAAGATAAAATAAAAGAGAATTTAAATAAACAAGTAATTTAATAGAACGAATAAAGCGATGAAAATAATATATTGAAAACACTTATAATAAGAAACCTTGGTCAGTAAAGATCCACCACCGGAGTTTAACACTGATCATTGATTTATAAAGTAATTAATATGCAGTTGAATATTTGTCGTGAAATTATTTCATTTCCGTTTTCCCTTAGTTGTAGGTAACTAAAACACACGCGGTTTAATTACCCCTAACTACTAAATAACCTAAGACAAGCGCTATAGATTTAATTTAATAGCAGCAATAGGAACTAGGAAAACCGACAAACTAAATAACACAAGCACAAGCGGTTGCATTTAATTTAGGAAAATATTCTACCCGAGTCCAATTATCACTAAGCCGTCAATAATTAACCCAGTTGCTACTGAATATTAGAGTAATTTGTAGCACAACATTATCTAATATAGCAAATAATTATATCAAATAAATAACTAGTAGGCCTCCCTAGCAATTAAATGACACAATTATTTCAAATAACTTAGAAGAATATTTAATACTCAAATGCATAAAAAATATATAATAAAAATAAATAAATAACCTTACAGCGTAATGAACTCCGGGGCTTCAACTCACTAAACCAAACAAGAAATTAGCCGCGAATGGACATTGATAACAACCTTAAAGAATATTCGAGAGGGGAAGAATGAACATTTTACAATAAAACACTTATACTATTTATACACTTTCTAAATTAAACCTAATGAACCTCTACCACTTATTCTCCTATTTTTGTGGCATGTCTGATTTCTTCTGTTAGTTGTGCTGCTTACCTATTCAAAAGGAAAGAAAGAGATAAAATGTTAGGATTAATAAATTCAATTGCAATTGATTGGACCACAACATAACTTACATTTATAATATATATATATATATATATATATATATATATATATATATATATATATATTTGCTAGTACATAATAATATATATATTAGTATGTATTCTTATATATTATATAATATATATATATATATATATATATATATATATATATATATATATATATATATATATTTAGTACAATATTTAGTTCATTAATTGTTAAACTCCAAAAAGAATAAATTATTAAATAATATTAAATAATTAATGCAAAATTATTATAAAGATGTACCTAAAATATGAGTGTAAAATATGCCCGTCAGAGGACAATATGCTTCTTCTGGGAACAGGTTGAATCCCCAACTCTAAAGGTCCTCCAGACCTGGGTGATAGAGCATGTGGGAGTAGATGAATCATAGTAACTTAGTGATTCAACAAACATGACCAAATGTCAAGAAGACAATATGTGGTTGAGCCGTTTGGAGGATTGGATTTTGTGTGACACACATGTACAAACCATCTAAATTCTTCAAAACATTTCTTATATGTAAGATTAAGACCTAACATACTTTTAATCAAATTGTTAGAACTTAGCTATTTATGAAGGTTGCTAATATGGTTAACATATTAGCTATAATACAACAATAATACTTTTAAGACATGGACAAAAAATTAGAAGTATTTAGAACTACAATGCACCACACAATCCACAACTTGCATTATATTCCATAGGAAATAGGGTAATCCAGAATGGAAACACTATTGCATTGAAGTCATAAGAAACACTTGGCTAAGCAGTAAGAACTCACATCACATCATCTAATTAAGTAAAATTTAGAACAATTAATAGAAGCAAAAACTAAAGAAGGATATTCTTGGAGTCTAATCAACACCTTAGGAAACAATCTAAGGTACCATCCTCATCTTACAAAACATTGCAACTTCCACCACAACCTTCGTGCTTTTAGAGATGCACGAGGGAAACAGAACAACTCTCTTTGGAATTTTATCACATTGTAATTGCAACTTCCACCACAACCTTCGTGCTTTTAGAGATGCACGAGGGAAACACAACAACTCTTTTTGGAATTTTATCACATTGTATTGCAGAAGAATAAAATAATGTTCCCGAATAACAACACTCTCTAGTGTAGGGTATTTTGAGAGCAGCATTTCCACAAAAAAGCGTTAGGACGGTCGATTCACAAAACAGTCTAATCTTGATTGTTTTAAGCATTTTCAGATCTTGATTAACAATAAATAAAAAATAAAAAAATAAAAAAAATGAACAAACATGAGCACGTTAAGAAAACAAAAATAATGATTGTAGATGAACTTAAATCACTGTGACTCAGATCAGTGGCTTCAAAAGTAACAGAACTAGTAAAGGGTGCTCACTACACAATACCCTTAACTCAATTCTAGATGAAGTTAACTTATTTAAAGCAAGAAAATGCAGCATAAATGAAGTAATATATTAAATATTCAATAAAGTTACAATTTCATTGAAATAGAAGCCATGCATATCATATATACAAAAATAATATCAAGATTCCAAAATAATCTATTAACTTGATGGGTCTCATACATATTTCATGGCGGAATGCAAATGCAACAATGATAGTCAATAATTTTTCAATATTTCTTAGGTTATTTCAAAAATTATATTGACATTTTATGATCTGATATAAAAAGTGCGGTGCCAAACAAACAATAATATGTTATTAAATAATGATTCTTCATATGTAAAGACAATAAATGTACATCAGACTGAGAAGACAATATGCTTCTTCTCCCAAAAGGTTGAATCTCTAATCAATCCTAAGGGCCACCCACGATCCGGCTCGACAAAGCATGTGTGAGGAGGTAAATTATGGGAACTCAGTAGAGCCAAATGTCAAGAAGACAATATGCTGTTGAGCCGTTTGGAGGATTGGATCTTGGTATGACACACATTTACAAACAATCTAAAATTCTTCAAAACATTTCTTATATGTAACATTAAGACCTAACATACTTTTAATCAAATTGTTAAAACTTAGCTATTTGAGAAGGTTGCTAATATGGTTGACATATTAACTAGAATAAAACAATAATACTTTTAAGACATGGACAACAAAATTAGAACTACAATGCATCACACAGTCCACAAGTTGCATTATATTCCATAGGAAATAGGGCCATCAAAATGGAAAGACCATTGCATTGAAGTCATAAGAAACACTTGGCTTAGCAGTAAGCTAAGAACTCACATCACATCATCTGAAGTAAAATTTAGAACAATTAACAGAAGAGAAAACTAAAGAAGGATATTCTTGGAGTCTAATCAACACCTTAGGAAACAAGCTAAGGTACCATCCTCATCTTACAAAACATTATTGCAACTTCCACCACAACCGGTGCTTACATTTCTAATTAAGTTGCATACAAAATGAACCCATGGAGTTTCACAATACAATTTGTGCTTTTGGAGATGCGCGAGGGAAGCACAACAACTCCCTTTGGAATTTTATCACCTTATTGTATTGGCGATGAATAAAATAATATTCCCGAATAACAACACTCTCTAGTGTAGGGGATTTTGAGAGCAGCATTTTCACAAAATGCGTTAGGACTGTGGATACACAAAACAGTCTAATCTTAATTGTTTTAAGTATTTTCAGATCTTGATTAACAATACAACTGTCTGGATCCTTCAAAAGTCGTAAAACAATTTTTATGTCATCATCTTCTGTGTCATCTTCAGAAACCTTCTACAACTCAACAACAAATAAAAAATAAATAAAAAAAATGAACAACCATGAGGATGTTGAGAAAACAAAAATCATGATTGCCAAATATATACTCTATATAGGTTTCTGTCTTACAATACTTACTGCTGTAATGTCTAGTTCACATAGGTTGGGAGATATTTGAAGTAACTTCAAAACACCCATGAGCTGTTTTTCATTGGCAAACTTCATAGAATTCAGTTTGATTACTTGTAGATTTATTGCAGTTGGGAAGGAGGCTACTTCAACATCTTCCCACTTATTTAAAAAAAAAAAAAAAAAAGAATATAAGCATTGAAAAGAACTCTATCAAAGGCAAAAAATATTTAATATGTCATATGAAGGAAGAGAGATTCTCACCAACATGCTGCTATGATCCAAGCAAAGAACCTTAATTGTTTCCAAATGAAGTACAAGCCATCTGGATTCAGCTGCAGGTATAAAACCAATAACAGACAAACTTTCAAGTTTTGGAGCTTTGAACTTAAAATTACTGATTCCTTCACAATGCTTGAATTCCAGCTTCTCAAGATTAGGAATGCTAGACACAATTCCATTAACATTATGATTAAAAACAACATCAGAGAAAATTAATGAAGTGACACCGGGAAAAATAGAAGGAGCATTTATTGGGCAATCAAAATGCAAACCCTTGAGTCCCAGCTGTTTGATTGTGGTGCACGAGACTATACAAAGTGGCAGCTTATATTGACGTTTCCAATGAGAGATGTCAAGTTCTATTGGGAAAAGTCCCACTGCCTGTGATAAATAAAATCACAGGACCGACAAGAGCGCAAATACGAGATGGTACAAAATAGCCAAAATAAATAACAGACACAAGGGGCACAAGATTTACGTGGAAACCCCCAAAACCACAGGGAAAAACCACGGACCACTACCAACACAATATTCCACTATAACAAATCTTGGGTACAAAGTTGCTGGCTACCACCCGAGCCAAACACCCTAAAAATATCAAATACAACAACTCTAGGCCAAATACAATCTATCACGTTCACAGGCCTAAAAAGGAATAATATCTCGTACTCAAAATATTCAACCACCACGAGCAAGGTGAATAGAATACAAATATTACGAGAATATCCAAAAATATGCCTGGAACAAATAACTGACCTCTACAAAATATTTGATAAAGAAAGTACCCAAAAGGTCTAGGCAAACCCACGACAAAGTAACGCCAAATGAAGTAGAAAATAGATGAAGCTCCTTCTGCTGGTGTATACCGCCGTGAACGAACAGAAAGAAAGAAGAATGAATTTTTCTTTCTTTCCTTTTGCCAACTGCTTCAGCCGAATGAAGAAAGAAGAAGCTTGTGGAAATTTGTGGTGTGTTGTAGAAGTTTTTGGTAATGTTGTGGTGATGAAACAATGAATTTTCCCTCCTTTTATAGATGCAGGCAGCCACCTTGGAAATGAAGAAAGCTAATTAATTCCTCAACTTCCTCGCATAAACCTTAGGAAACCTCTTCCCATAATCCTTAGGAAACCTCTTCCCATAATCCTTAGGAAATCTCCTCCCATAAACCTTAGGAAATCTCTTCCCAAGTTCCCTTAGGAAATCTTCTTCCCAAGTTCATCCCAAGCAAACTTCTGCCCAACAACTTCATCCCAACATTCACTCTTTAACTTCTACCCAATAACCCATTCTCCAACCCAAATAATTGTCAGCAAACTTTTCCATCAAGCTAACAAATATTGCAGTGGAATAGGCTTGGTCCAAAATGAGCTATTTACCACATAGGAGGGAAGCCCCAACCCAACAAGTTCCTCAATGCCATTTATTGACAGATAAAGACACCACTGATCCAAATCCGACTGCTCCAACATAGGATCAAGTAAGCCAATGATGTGTAGGCTAAATTTCTTAACGGGTTGAACACGCTGCAAGAGAATGTAAGTTATTATTTTACAAGGCACGATACTTACACCACTGCATTTTATGATATCCCAGAAAAAGTCATTATCCAAAGCAAGCCGACCAAGCCGCAACCAAACATGATTCCAGTGTGTTGAGAGCAGAGCAGTTCTGGCGGCGTCTCGGGTGGGCAAACACTCCAAAATTCTCACCTTTAACTCTAAGGGCAGCTCACTTATTAAATCCCTACTTGCATGATCCGCTACCATTTCGAGTCGCAGACGTCGAGCCATTAAATTGAAAGAACAATGAGGCGTCAGTCCAAATCAAAACCTTAAATTGTTCTGTTCTATTCTATTCTATTCTTCAACTGCAAGAAAACACAAATTGGGGAAAAAGTGATAGAAACCCTCACCTCTTATGTTTGGTTTGGGCCTTTGCCTCCCTTCTTGCATCCGCTACGATTTCGATTGAAGAACTAGCCATTAAATTGGTAAGGAACTTTCCTAAGGTTGAAAATTTATTTCCATATTTAGTGTAATTTTTGAGGTATAAAAAGTTCATGCAAGTCAATGAGATCGAGTCACCAACCTTTTTAAAAAATAAAAAAATAAAAAAAAAATCTACCAAATATATTGAATTAGGTATGTATCCTTTTGCATCAAATTAAAAATCTTTCATCTTTTATAAATATAAACAATTGTTTTCTCCACCATTGCACATTGTTTATCAACGAAACTAATTACCATACCATACATTTTTAAATTAGTGTTTCAGAATTTAAGATTATTGAATTTTTTATAAAAGTAAATATTTCAAAAATACATAACTATGACATGTGGCAGAAATATTAGATTAACAGGTGCAAAAACAATTTTAGAGGGAATTACCCTCACTAGATAATACCCTAAGCGTAGTTTTTGCAACACAAAATCCTATTAATTAGTGGTGTCAATTACCATCTTGACTCAACCACATTAGCCATAGAACTTATTAGAACCAACTCAACCAATGCAAAAACTTGTATGAGACAGTTTCGCGGATCCTAGTTTGTGAGACAGATCGAGTCAAAATCAAATGTAATACTTATACTAAAAAATATATTACTAATAAGGAATAAAATTTTTTGTTAGGAATAAAGTGTAATGGTTTTGATATGCCAAATATGTATTTGTAGATCCCCCAATTTTATTTCTTAGGTCTAGTAGAGTCTTAGACCATGATCGGGAAATTATTTAAATTGGAAAAGAGAAAAATAGAGGAAGATGGATGAAAATAGAAGAAGAAGATATAAAGCCTAAAATCAAGAATTTGTCTGGAGAAAATAACAAATTGAAGAAGAAGATGAATGATACAATATTCACGTCAATGCTACTCAAAGAAAATATCCCAGAAGAATTTTCGTGAAGAAAATTAAGATTGGAAGAATACATGAAATTGACTTGGAGATCAAGCATCTATGGAAAGAAAGGAGTACATCAAAGAAGATTGGAGATTTAATTAAAAGTTGTACGGACGAAGTGGATGATGTTTGTATGTTAATTACTTGAAATGGCTCAAGTTTGAATCTCACTACCAATAATTTTACAAGGTAAAATTTGAGAAGCCAAATCTAATTAAATCTGATGGAGTTGGGTGCTAGTAGTTTGGCTTTGGGCGCCAATTACAAGTGGAATTTAGGACCCAATTTCACTTGGGTGGCAATTGAGAAGCAATTGCACTTGGGAACCGATTTCATCCAATTGAAATTGGGAGCTAGTTTGAAGCAAATTGAAATTGGAAATTGAAATCAATTGAAATTGGGAGCGAGCAAGTTTCACATGGGAATCAATTCAAGATGGGAGCCATTGAAGTTGTAGTATGGGATGCAAATTCAAATTGGTCAAATTGTAGTATGGGATGCAAATTCAAATTGGCGACCGATTCAAATTGAATTGAGATGAAATTCAATACCAGGAGCCAATTTCGAAGTCAGCAATTGAAAGCACCAGGAGAAGTTTGGGAGCCAATTGCAAGTCAAAGTCAATTGGGAGCCAATTACAATGGAGAAATTCAAATTGGGTGCCAATTCCAAGTCAATTGAAATTGGGTGTCAATTACAATGGAGAAATTCAAATTGGGAGGAAGTTCAAAGCCAGTTTGAAGTCTGAGAACACCCAGACGTGAGTCAATTGAAATTGGGTGTCAATTACAATGGAGAAATTCAAATTGGGAGGAAGTTCATAGCCAGTTTGAAGTCTGAGAACACCCAGACGTGAGAATGAAGAAGATGAAGATAAACTTACAGTGAAAATATTCTCACAAGGAAAAATACTAGTTTAAATAGTATGGGATTAAATTAAAGAATATTTTTAAAATCTCAAAGATACAAGGACCACTTCAGAGCTGATCAGAGAATCCATTCTACACCAAAACAGAGACCCAGATATTTCCACTCAACGTAAAACCAGAGGAATATCAGATGAAGTTTGGGAAACCATTCGCATGAAGTTCAAGCTCTCAAACGGCTAGCTTATCCTTTCTGACATCTTTGCGGAAGATAAGATAAGATCTCTGACAAAAAGATACAAGATTTCAAAAATGAGATCGTCTCTGTCCAACGGATAGATTCTCATTACCAACTATAAAATGATGAAGATATGAAGACTTGAAAAAAGAGCAGTTGAGAAACTCACGAACAAGAGAGCAGAAAATACGAACCCATCAAGGGGAACGAATAGAGCAATTAAGCTTAAAAGAGCATAGAGCAAAAAATCTCATTTGGTACAAAGCATACCAAAAATCTTCAAGTGAGAAGTGAGAAAAGAAAAAGAACTCAGAGAGCTTCAAGAGAAAAATATTCTCAGAGTTCTTAAACAGAGCAAAGCAGAGCATAAAAATCAAGTGCTTTACTTGATACATTCAAAGAGAGAAAACACTCAGAGCTATCAAGAGAAATCATTCCAGAGTGTTTATCTTCATCAAAGAGACCTGCGCATCATTGAAGATCAACTACAGAGTCTCAGAAGTTGGAAGCAAGACAACACTTATTTTGGAGCAAAACAAGAGAAGGGAGGAAAGTAGCACGGAGCTGTGAAATCCTGGATTGTCACACGGAGCTGTGAGATCCGAAGCAGCAGTGTCGGAGGCACTGGGCGTGATTAGTGCGGGCTTTGTGATCAAAGCACTAGATCACGGGATACGTTTCTACCGGAGTGTGGAAGACGGGGGGAAAGTAACGCGGAGTCGTGAAATCCTGGGATAGTAGCGCGGCGACGTGAAACCCGAAGCAGCAGTGTGGTGTCACTGGGCGTGATTAGTGCGGGCTTTGTGATCAAAGCACTAGATCACGGAAATTCATTGTATCTTGGAACCAAGGAGTGGTAGATATAGTGAATTGCTTTTGGAAATAAGAGCAAGTGGAGTAGGAGGATTACACCACCTCGCGAACCACTATAATTGTCTTGTGTTCTTTACTGCTTTCTTTACTTACTGCTCTTTACATATTCGCACTACACGAGATATACTGCTCACACATTCTCACACACACTTTATGTTTATTTATTTCCGCTGTGCACCATACTCTAACAATCTAATTAAGAGTTTTGGTTTATCTCTGGCTTAGCAATTGTTGTGCTGTGCGAAAAAGTTTGAAATTATATTCAACCCCCCCCCCCCCCCCTCTAGACTTTCACCTTACCTCTTTTGGGACCAACAATTGGTATCAGAGCCTGTAGCCTATTTGAGTCAGTTTATACCAACCTTTGGTATTAAAACACGTTGCCCAACTGGGTTAACTGTTTTTGGCTGCTAGGCTGATCCGTTCTACAAAGTGTGTGAATTGGATTAATCTTTCATATCTCTCGTGATGATGATGAAGAAAGATTTAGCTCAAAATCTATTATTCTCACTTGATAAATTTGACGATTGGAAAGTTCGTATGCAGGTACACTTATCGACTTTACACGATGAAATGTGGGAAGTTATTTCCACTGGCCCTATAGAAATATTAAAAATCAATACGGCGTTTGTTATATCCCCGTATGCTCCATAGTACGTACAAAAGCCAAAATCGGAATGGACATCGAACGATAGAACGCGGAATAATCTTGACAATATTGCCAAGGATATTCTATTCAAAGCCGTTGATGATACAATATTTCCGAAGATCCGAAAGTGTGCTACTGCTAAAGAAATATGGGAAACTCTCATCAAGATTGGCGAAGGAGATGAACAAGAAAAAGACAATAAGCTCACAATCGCCATGAAGAAGTTTGAAGATTTCAAAATGCTCTCAAATGAAAGTGTTGCAGACATGGAAGCTCGAATGATCAAAGTTCTTGGAGAGATTAGTGATCTTGGCAAAAATATTAGCCAAAAAGAAATTAATCTCAAAATCCTACGAGGCTTACCATCTGCATGGGATATGAAGGTTACGGCTATGCGCGATCACCGAGATCTAAGAATGTTGTCAACAGACAAATTATTTAGTGATCTAAAAGCATATGAGTTCGAAATGAAGGCCAAAGATGATGATGTTCATGAAGCTCGAAATACTGCTCTAATGGCCGAACAACCGTCAACCTCCAGGTTAGTAGAAAATAATGTTGATTTTATGACTGACGAACAGTTTGCTCTTTTTGTTAAAAGATTTAAAAGGTTTATGCGAAAAGGAGACAACAAAAATTCTGCTCGTGGAAAATTCATCTCTCGCATAACACAAGAAGAAAAAGTCGAAGAAAATAAGGAGTTATGCTACAGTTGCCGCAAACCCGGACATTTTAAAACAAATTGTCCGTATCCAATCGTTAGCAAGTATCAAGGCAAAAATGTTGAATCCACGCCGAACAAATCCGAAAGCAAAAGGTTCAAGCGCGACAAAAGAAAAGCTCTCGTTAGCAACGAACCAAATGAAAATGATGATTCGGAGGATTCATCATCAAGCGATGAAAGTTCGTGTTCGGATGATGATACGGCGCTAATATGCAAATCAATTGAGTTGAGTACAAGTGAAGATTGTTTTATGGCTCTTGAAGCAGAGGAAGAAGAGGTAACATCTAATTCTTTCAATTCTGTTAATTCTTCTTTTTCTTGTGAATCTATTGACAATCTAATGCGAGAATGTCAAGAGATTATGCTCACTCGTCCTCAACTCAAGGAGCGCAATAATATTCTAATTCTTGAAAAAGAAGAAATGAATAAAAAAATTGCAAGATGCTTTACTTGAAGTGAGTAAATTGAAGAATGAAAATATTCATCTTCAAGAAAAGTGTAAAGCAAGAGAGGTTAGAGAACATAACCTTCGGGCAACAATTGCTACGTTCACCAATTCGTCTAAAATTATAGATAAAATGGTGAGCATGCAAAAGCCATCAGGAGATAGAACCGGAATCGGTTATGACTCCACATGTTCTCAAACCCCTCAAAATCTGACTAATTCTACTACTACTTTAAATAATAA